ATAAACACTCAGACGATTATATACATGTTATTCGCGAGTTGTTATCTCCAAGGTTGCTATTCGCGAGGTTGACTGGCCGTACGCAGTAACGCACACACGCACACACACACGCACACATCCAGGCACACACACACACACACACACACACACACAACTGTGGAAAAGGACTATACCTTCCGAAATACTTGGCTAGTGCATCAGCACTGACATCAGTCTGGGGAGTCTTCGCAACGACTGTGTCATAAAGTAGTTCCTTGAAGAAGAAATTTCGGCGCCAGTCGGGACACTCAACTTTGGCCGGTGCCTGCCAATCCCAGTTGACAATAGCCTCGTCACGCGGTTGAATTAACGGAGGTGGGCTGATGGCCGTGTTGAAGTTTGCCCTGTCGTGCTGAAGTTGCTGATCTGGTCGCTGTTGCTGCTGTTGCTGCAGTTGCTGCTGTTGCTGCTGTGTTGGGATGCGCGAGAAGCCACCGACTGAGCTTCCTCCCCCCGCTGCTCCTGTGACAAAACCCAAACACAAAGGTCATGGCGCACGAGAGCGGAGCACAATAGAGTGGTTTTCATATCCGTCACACGACCATGCGGGACAGCCATGTTGGCTCCAACTCTACTCAACCCCCTGCAATATCCGGACCCTGAAGTCATGTTGGCTCCAACTCTACTCAACCCCTTGCAATATCTGGACCCTGAAGTCATGTTGGCTCCAACTCTACTCAACCCCCTGCAATATCCGGACCCTGAAGTCATGGTGGGTCCAACTCTACACAACCCCGTGCAATATCCGGACCCTGAAGTCACGGGCACCCTTTGGTCTATCGGGCACCCTTTGGGCGGGCTTCAGTGGAAATATCTTTACTCTTCGGCACTTTTTGCGGAAATAGTGACGCCATATGGCATACCGTAAAGTCTTGTATAAAAGCCGCACTTGAATAGAAGCCGCCCTCGAATAGAAGCCGCAATTTTGGGCCCATCAAATCACACAGAAGCCTGGTTTTAGTGTTGACATACAATAGAAATACCTGTCTTGTATAGAAGCCTGTCTCATTATAGAAGCCTGCACAATTTCACCAAGAAAGTCATGGAAGCCGCGGCTTTTATACACGACTTTACGGTATCTATGGCCTTTCCCCATCAACATGTGTGTGAGAATGGACTCGGTTGGTGAGCCGAGGATTTGATTTATAGTTTTTAGTTGTAGAACGTCAGTACCGTCGGTCAGTGTCGTGCAATGTTATCGCATGAGCTGATTGTTCAGTAACTGGTGGTGTTAGTGGACACATAAGGAGTAACTTGTAGCTCCTTGGTCTTTTTCTTTTCTATAAAATGTGTATGATTCGGAGTTACGGACATTTCAAAGTTACGGGCACTGCCCGGTCGGTCCCGGACCGCCCGGATAAACGGCGTGTATGAGTGAGCGTGCAAGTTCTTCAACATCAAGGTGAGTCTTATCAGTGTTCATCTTCACCAGGTATCACTGCACACTCACACCGCGCTTAACCGCACACACCCGTTTCACACAAAAAAATATCCGGAGAGGCGAGGGAACTGAATAATCCAACACACATACTGTATGTATGCATGGCATATCCAGTAAATCGGTAGCCAACGATTTTCTGCCGGATGGCGAGGGATCCGGATAAGAGGGGACCGGGTAAGCGAGGTAGACTGCACGTAAAGCTGCATTGGAGTAAGTATGTGTGTGTGTGTGTGTGTGTGTGTGTGTGTGTGTGTGTGTGTGTGTGTGTGTGTGTGTGTGTGTGTGTGTGTGTGTGTGTGTGTGTGTGTGTGTGTGAGACAGAGAGAGAGAGAGAGAGAGAGAGAGAGAGAGAGAGAGAGAGAGAGAGAGAGAGAGAGAGAGAGAGAGAGAGAGAGAGAGAGAGAGAGAGAGAGAGAGAGAGAGAGAGAGAGAGAGAGAGAGAGAGAGAGAGAGAGAGAGAGAGAGAGAGAGAGAGAGAGAGAGAGAGAGAGAGAGAGAGAGAGAGAGAGAGAGAGAGAGAGAGAGAGAGAGAGTAGGAATGCAGAAAGTCTGCTCACCTGCCTCGCGATGGCGAACACCCGGACGCTGCTGCTGCTCAGCCACCTGGCTCGCCTGCGCCGGCGTGCCCGCTCCCGTTGCCCCCGGGGTGCTGGCGTCGAGCGAGCGATTCTGCGCCAACGCCATGGCATTGACGATGGTCTCCGGGGTGGGCCGCTTAGGCACATCGGACATGATTTCGGGGACGGCGGAGAGAGGGTACGGCGACTCCACGCCCTGTTTGGCGTCCAGCCGCCCGAGCAGCATGACCAGAACGGAAAACATGCCCGGGTGGACGTGGTAGCAGAAGTGCAGGTGGTAGCGGTGCACGTCCTCGATCAGGCCCTCGGCGAACGTCCGCCGCTTGCCCTCGTAGAACAGACGCAGCACGTCCGCGACGCGCTCCTGCTGCGCGTACGCGTGCGCCACGGCCGCGAAATGGCGCGCCCGCGCGTGGTCGGCAGTCAGGTGCAGGCGTCGCATCTCCGCCTCCACGAGCTCCGGCTCCTCGGTGGCAGCCATGCACTGCAGGTAGACGGCCACGTCGCCGGCCACTTGCTCCGCCTGAGAGTCCAGCAGGCTGCGCAGCTCCTGCGCGGCCAGCCGCAGGTCGGGCATCTTCTCGTTGGCCAGCTCGCGCTCCTCCGCCGAGCGCACAAACGCCGTCATCAGCAGCAGCTGCGGGGTGTGAAAGTGAAGGAGCATGCGGCAGACGAGCGGCAGCAAGAACTCGTTGCGCAGCAGATCCAGCGGTAGGGAGCGTAGGTAGCGGCGCACCTCGGCGAGTTTCGTGTCGCTGAGCACGTCCAGCGCTTGATAGTGAGTGATCATGTTCTGAGCACGGCAAAACGCAAGCGCGCACACACACACACACACACACGTGCACAGACACACAAACACACTCGTTGCACACTCTCGGCCGTGTACTCGCACATAGGTACACAAATCATGTCAGGTGACCGGACTGTCGTGTTATCCCAGCGTCAGGTGACTGGACTGTCATGTGATCACAGTGTCAGGTGACTAGGCCTAGCCCAAATTTGCTCGGGGCGCTTCGATATTTTGCCGGCAAATTTTGCCCAAGCACTTTCCATATTTTGCTTGGCATTGCCTTTCGTTTCCGATATTTTGCTCCATTTTGCTCCTGCTTTGTGGCAAAAATAGCTTCGAATGAACCGTCTACTTTGGTAAAAGTGGATGGTGACTCTGATGAGGAAAGCAAAACTGAAAATGGTGTCAGTATTACGGATTTTGTAGCATGATTTCAAATTTATGTACCCCTGACAACCTGCACGAGCTATTTCAGCACGACGTTGGCCCAATGAAACCAAAGAAATTAGAATAAAATTGCCAAAACACACCCGGATCCTCTGTAAATTTCGATATTTTGCTCAGAATTTGCTGGCAATTTCTTTTCGTGGGAAATTTCGATATTTTGCTGGAAGAATTGCCGGCAAATTTGGGCTAGGCCTACAGGTGACCGGACTGGCATGCGACCTGAATACCACGTAGCAGTGTGGCCTGAAATGCGGCCGAGGCACTAGCGATATGTATGCAGGCCGTCGAAAACGACCACAGAACCAGTGCATGGGGATGAACGGTCACCTCAGTGCATGGGGATGAACACATCCCACACATTAGTACACGACACTGTACAGGTCACATGACACCGTACAGGTCACCTGACACTGGATCACATGACACCATACAGGTCACCTGACACTGGGATCACATGACACCATACAGGTCACCTGACACTGGGATCACATGACACCATACAGGTCACCTGACACTGGGATCACATGACAGTCCGGTATAAAGTAAAACCTGTCAGGGCGACTACAGTGGAACCTGTCTAAGACGACCGCTCATGACATGCGACCTTCAAAACGTGGTCTCTGCTACCAGGTGGTCTCCTTATCCAGGGTCATTTGACTGGCAATAGGATCCCTTGGTCCTGGTTTCAGTGGTCTTTCAGGACAGGTGGTCGCCTTATCCGAGTGGTTGCCTTGACAGGTCCTACTGTCCTCGTATACTGTAAGATATGTTATTATAACGAGTCGCAAATTTAACGATTGTCCAAAATTCATAGGTTAACGAGAAGATACGTTAACGATCATCTTACAGTCTCAGGCATATCCACACATAACCCATACATGTACATGCATGAGGCCTTACAGCCACAACAGATCTGACTACAGCATAACGAAGAAATGTCACTCGTTAAAACGTTTATACATTAACTTCCTCGTTAGGTTTACATGTCTTACAGTGAGGCGACCACCTGTCCCAGGAGACCACCTGTCCCAGGAGACCACCTGTCCCAGGAGACCACCTGTCCCAGGAGACCACTGCAACTAGGACCAGGGATGCTACATGTACATGTATCTCCAGTAAAAATGACCCTGGATAAGGAGACCACCTGGTAATTGAGACCACATCTTGAAGGTCCCAGTAAAAATGACCCTGGATAAGGAGACCACCTGGTAATTGAGACCACACCTTGAAGGTCCCAGTAAAAATGACCCTGGATAAGGAGACCACCTGGTAATTGAGACCACACCTTGAAGGTCCCAGTAAAAATGACCCTGGATAAGGAGACCACCTGGTAATTGAGACCACACCTTGAAGGTCCCAGTAAAAATGACCCTGGATAAGGAGACCACCTGGTAATAGAAACCATACCTTGAAGGTCCCAGTAAAAATGACCCTGGATAAGGAGACCACCTGGTAATAGAGACTACACTTTGAATAGGGACTTCAATCGAAAAACCAAATTCGTGAGTTTCGCATAAAACGCTAGTTTTTCTAAACCGGGAAGATGTGAGAAACAACCTGTGAAAATTTGAACCCAAAATTCCAAGGCAATCTAGAGTTATAGTCGATTGAAGATCGGAAAATGGGGGAGAAAGTAGTCACAGAAGTAAATGCAAGTATGTATGTGAGCCGTGTGGTTTCCGTCCAGCACTGCACTATCTGGTACATACATGGCGATACAGGATGTGTGCATGCCATGCAGTGTGCACGCATGCCGTGCGCGCCTGCTTGCACAGGTCACATGTTTTCACCGTCACTGCTTCTACAGTGTGCGCGCAGTTCACTCGATTTTTTTCGTCTACCACCAGGAAATCGCCGTGGGCTGGTTTCTGTGATCATCTTCCTTCTACCGCGATAAAGCGCGAGCCTCAATGTTCTAGAATCCTCTTGGTATAGGTTAATTCGAGGCCGCTGAACACGAAAATTGGGTGTTCCTCGCGGGGCTGAGTACGGATCTGGTCGAAATTAGTACTTCGAAGTGCATCCGCGCTGGCATTATTTTCGGAAGCATGGCATGTGTGGCACCATTGGAAAGGAAAGCTACCTAAAAATAGCATCGACAAGGCCGAAAAGGCCGCGGAAGAAGATACTCGGGCCTCGAACTGCATCTCGAACTGCAGTCACGAGGCGCCCATTCACTTTGTACAGGCAAGCTGTGACTGCACTTTTCGCTTTTCTGTGACCGGAACTAAACTCCCTACTTTGAAGGCCCCTTGACCGGTCGTCGTGGCCAGCTTTCACTGCATCGTCATTTGTGAGTGGTGGAGCTTGCATTCACGAGTCAGTGACTCGTTCTGTATCCTTTTTATAAGCCACTTAACCCGTGGATCAACTGTGCATCTACTGGTTACACAGCTGCATAATGCTGTTTATTATTTTAATTTTATTTTACTATTATTATTTTTTCGGCAACGCAGATGATGATGATGAACACGTTCCTAGTCTCTATTTGTCAACAAGCTCTGGGATATTCCTCACCCTAGCATTCATGACGCTCTCTCCCTCTTTCTCCAAGTCTCGTTTCTGGTCTTCTTTGAAGTCAATAAATGAGTAAGCCGGGAACACGTTGTCTTCATTCGGATTCCTCCGGGTCTGTTTCTTATCCACATCCTCGTAGCGACGAAACTTTGGACACTCCAAATCGGCTTCGCTGACGGTGAAGTCAATTCCGTAAGAAAACTCGTCAATAATAGCCTGTTTAGCTGATTGCACCTCTTCGTCGCTGTACGTCTTCTTAGGACCCAACCTCGTCAGGAGTGCGGCGGTCTCTTGGCCGTAAGATCTACGCGCACCGCCGGTGTAGGCCCAGCTGTGACCGGACAGCACGCCTTCTGCCCTGCTGCTCGCAGTGGATCTACTGCTCAGAGAGGTAGAACACGACTGGAGTGCATTGCGTCCCGCACAGCCGAGGCGCTGCAGGAACCGCGCCGATGCGCTCATCTTCAGTGAGCAGATCAGGCCTCGCCCTAGCTTGCCGGCAAACAACAACAAGGATGCACCTTTGCCTTCGTGTCCAAATCGTCCAATCCAAATGCATGTACTGAAATACTCGGAAATAATTGAAAAATAGTCTGCACCACCACACAATGTTTTTTGTATCGTGCACTTGATCGTTTGCTTGATTTTTGGTTTTTGCGTTTGGTTCGAATAAATGACGTAATCGATAGCCTATACAATAGTGCCATGACAACTGATTGTCGCCTTGGTCGCGTGGTCCGCGCGTACATACAATGACGCGCAGTCTTTTTTTGTCCAAAATCACCATGATCACATGTGCACAGCTGATGTGATGCCTAGTACTAGTATTAGGGACCTTTCGCACCCCGCGTACGGATACGAAACGAATGCTGATTCGTCACCTGGGTTCGAGGATTCGTCAGAGTCCCTGCGGAGAACTCGTTTTCACGAATGGAAGCCTCTTCATTCGTGGCACGCTCCGAATCTGTCACGGCGTCAGGTACACATTTATTTGGATAGGTACACATTTTTCCCTTGATTCCATGATCCATGCACGTGTGCGTGTAAAAACCCGTACGCCAAACTACCGGCGCCCGCGGCCGTATTCGTAGTTGCCATGCACATTTGCATGACGACTTGCGAAACCTGAAATCTGTTTTCAACGAAACGATTACGAGCCGAATCAAACTTTCGTTTCGCATTCGTTTCGTAGCAAATGCGAAAGGTCCCTACTGCCTACTCGCGTAGACATCTACTCGTGGCCCTCCGGCTACTCGTACATACACTGAATACACTCATACACTATACAGTCGTCGTAGTCGAGTCGTAGGTCTACTCTTGATTGGATCTTGTACCTGTGTACTGTACAAGTATCCTAAAAAACCGGATCAAAATCTGTCCAAATTTGAGAGAGAAAATGGAAAATTGAGTTTTTAGCTGGCTTTGCTGGCTTATTTCCGTGCATTTGCATGCGCCGCTGCTTTGTCTTTGAAGAAGTCATGCACCTCTCAACGCATCCACGTGGGGTATTCCCCTGTGAGGCTGGCGCTGGCCTACATGCCATGGATTCTACACAATGCCCTTTGACTGGATGGAAAAGAGTGCACACGTGACTTGGGCCCTTGGCCTTTGACTGGAAACGAGTGCACACAATCATAGTGACTGTAGTACAGAGTATAAAAATCTAACCGTTGCGCTAGCTTGGTGGT